TACAAATGCATAATTACCTGGATAAAAACCATGAATATCACTGAGACTGTGTAGATGACCTTTTCTGAAGCACCAAGGCTGTGACATCGCTTTATACGGAACTTTGAAATTAGTAAATACACAAATAATTGAATACGTGTATTTTCTTACAGAACAACATATAATGAACATGAAAGCACACAAAAAAGAAATATACATGAAAAATACCAGGAATACAGTGCAATCTACCGAAGCGCTGGAGGCCACAGCTATCGCTTGTTGCGGTCCTGGTCTAGGGTTTTCACTAAACGTGGTGGCCATAAATCAGAGGAACGGATTTCAAAGTTTGTACAATCATTTTTAGATTTAATAATGACGGACAAAATATACAAGCGTAACTAAAACCTCGGTATTTGATTTCGTTGAAGTTAGGGAGGATTCATTTCCGAGTGAGGAAAAAATAGTTTTTGCTGATATCTTGTAACAAATTGTTTTGCTGTATCATTAGTTATTTATGAAGTGGTAGTGAAAACCCTTTGTGTTCTCTTAGATGTATGGAATATAATATATATATATATATATATATATATATATATATATATATATATATATATATATATATATATATATATATATAATATATATATATATATATATATATATATATATATATTCAGATTAGCTTTGGAATTTTGGCTTTTTTTCAGTAAGATAAAGATATATTAAAAGGATAATTGATTTCATTTCACAATTAACTCATGATACAGCAAAACTGAAATTAGCTCAGTATTTTTTAATTCACTTTCAGTACAGTATTATTGGCATAAGATTATAGAATTTAGGGATGGCAGTTTTATGAATAGGAGTAATATACATAATTTGCTGATTTCCATGAGATGTGTTTTGCAGTAGCATGAGTTATTTATGAAATAATAATGAATTCAAGCCATATGTGGTCTCGTAATTTTTTTTGAAAGAAAAATATTTATGATTCGCGTAAATTCAGATGAAGTTTTTGACTTTGGTTCTTTTTGGATAAACAAACAGAAATTAAGCTGACAAAGACTAATCATGAGTATGATAAAAAACTAATAATGCACAAATGGATTTCATCTTTGTACAAATAACTCTTGGCACAGCCCCCCCCCCCCCAAAAAAAAAAAAAAAAAAAAAAAAAAACGTTATATATGTAACACACATAAATACAACATACACATATACATATACACACATACACATATACAGCACACACAACTATATATATATATATATATATATGTATATATATATTTATATATTATATTATACATATATAAATAAATAAATAAATAATAATATATATATATATATATATATATATATATATATATATATATATATATATATATATATATATATATATATACATATATACATATATACATACACACACACACACAACCATATATATATATATAATTATATATATATATATATTATAATATATCTATATATCTATATATATATTATATTATATAATATATATATATATATATATATATATATATATATATATATATATATATATGCATACGTATGCATAAACATATATATACGAATGAATATATATACACGTATGAATGGATATATAGGCAGAAATGTATAAAAAATGTATTGATGTATGTATATGCAAAAACATGCATATAA